GAAAAAGAGAGAAACTACAGAAAATCATTACTCGCGTTTACCGTGTATAACAAAGTAGAGAACAAATAGTCAACGTTATTTCATCGAGTTACGGGGGTAGAACCTGCGTTTGCTAGTATCTATCTGTTGAACGAAAGCCGGTCGAGCCAGCTTGAAATGTAGAGCACAGATCGAAAGGAAAGGAAAGGGTGCGAGGGGGTGAGCGGGGGTTGGTTGAGAGGAAAGGGATAGATCCATGCACAAGTTATATCGGTGTCACGAAGGAGGAGGCTGTCAACCGAGCGCGAAACACGGATCCGCAGCACGAACGCACGGCCCCGTCACAGATTCAAATAATTCATGAAATCCCCACTGTCGTTTGCGCAATGCGGCGCCGCCGGTGTGCGTTGTTCCACACCGACGGCATTCGAGATCGCCATTTGGCGGGAAATCGGAGGGAGAAACAAGTGCACGTGGACCGTACGAAAATTCGTCGCTGGAGAGAGTATCTGTGTGTAGAGTTTTTTCTCTCTGCACTCGTCACTGCGAGGATCGCCACGCTAACCGTCGCGTCGCTCAGCGATCTCTGGAATGAGCCTCTCTCTCCACTAGTCGGCACAGCATCGCGACTCTTCGATGCCCGCGAGCCGCGCATGCGCGCAACCGGGCTACGGCGTTTCGTTCGATATCACGGCGAGTTGCGCCAAACTGGCGCAGGAGTGGGGGGGGGATGGCGGGCAAACGAAAAGAGTGAGAAAATTATTCGTCTGACTGGGTAAAATTAGTTGTCAAATCCTTGGTAACCTTGGCGTGTAAGTTTAAGTGTCTCTTGAGGGGCGCGAAGAGTCATGTTTGACACGAAAAGACGCAAAAGCATTTGATTATTTATCGTAAAAAAAATTTTGTATATACATGTACATAAGTATATGAAATATCTTGACGTTTCACTGACATAGTGGAACCAGTCTAAAAATGTATATAGAGATTAGCTACAATACAAGATTTAATATGAAATATTCCAAAATATTCGGTACAATTACATACACATACACATAGTATGCCCACAAACACTTCCTACAAACATTTAAATATTTTTATGAAAATACCAAGAAAATCGTGATGATCATCCCTTATTGCAGTAGTAATGAAAATAGTATTCCATATGATAGATACCATAGAGTTATAAAAGGTTTCTACTAGCTTTGTAAACAACTGTAAGTTAAACTGTCCTATTTCTCGTAATATCGTCTACGTTATTTGATCGCATCGTTGACTAACACATGAAGAATGTAATGAAAAATTGAACAAGATTCTACGATCAATAGGTATATCTGTGTCACGTGATGAAAATGACGAGTCTGGCATAAGAGTTTGTGATATTCATTGTATAATCAAATGTTATGTTCACGTTCTCGCTATATCTAGTAATGATTTAAATAATTATTTTAAGTATAAGAAATTATAAAGAAATGATAATTACGCATAATGTTATTAGTTCAAATAGAAAGTTCAAAAGCTAATATTTGAACTTTCCATGATCTATATTTAGTACACAATATGAATAGTATACTAGGGTACGAATACAATATGAACTTTGCTTCTCGTGACTATAAGAGAGATCGATATTCAATATATCAATATGTTAATTTAGTACAGTAAAAAAAAAAA